TGTGTGTGTCTGTGTGTGTGTCTGTGTGTGTGTCTGTGTGTGTGTGTCTGTGTGTGTGTGTGTGTGTCTGTGTGTGTCTGTGTCTGTGTGTGTGTCTGTGTGTGTGTCTGTGTGTGTTTTGGTTGGGACTTCAACTCTGTGTGTGTGTGTGTGTGTTTATTTTGGTTGGGGCTTCAACTCTGGGCCTGGGCCTGAGCTCTTCAGTCTTCAGCTCAAGGTGAATGCTCTACCACTTGAGCCAATGTGCCACTTCAGGTTTTCTGGTGGTTAATTGGAGATAAGAGTCTCATGGACTTTATGCCCAGGCTGGCTTTGAACCACGATCCCCAGATCTCAGCCTCCTGAGTAGCTAGGATGACAGATGTGAGCTACTGGTGCCCGGCTTTTCTGAGATGTATTGCGTGCAACGCAGCAGGCGGGGTACATGAGTTTGTGATTTTCCTAGGGGCCGTTCTTAGAGAGGGCTCCTGGTTCAGAACGGCATGGCATTTGTGTAGCCTTCATTTGTGAGAAGAGCCCTGATGACTCATTTTATCCAAATACATGAACATTCAAGCATATCAACATAAACACCATGTATATTATTCAAGGCACTAGCTCACCAAAGCCAACTGTCTGCCCACCTGGGCTTCCTGCTCACAGGACGTAGATGGCAGACTAGGGAGAGAACTGTACAGACCAGGGCAGGAGGGATTGGGCTCATGTAGGGGTCTGGATCAGGAAGGGTCTGTGAGGAGACATCAGCAGAGGTCTGAGGGAAGGGGCCGTGAGCAAAGCACCAGGCTGTCTCAGGTTCAGGGAGCGGAGGGTGCAGCCCCGGGGCCTCACCTGGCTTTCCGGTCAGCACAGGTCGGGGTTGGGGTATTGTGATCACTAGGAGACCCCCAGTCCTGTGAGAAACTTCTGGAGGGGTCTCTGCTGGGGGGGCTGGGAGCACCTGACGGCTTTCTGCTTCAGGAGCTGAGGAGGCTGGAGAAGTCAGGCAGAAGCGCTTTTCCTGAAGAGGAGGCTCAGAGCCGGAGCGGGCTGGCAGTCCAGCTCTAGCCACTGGCCTTGCTGTGCGTTCTCGAGGGGGCGCAGGTGGTGGCGGTGACCCCC